CTGCTACTTATAGCTGTTACTCAACTGATAGTTTCTTCTTTGCCCATCTAAGCATTGTCTGATTTTTCTCATATGCTCCAGTCTTTTATACCCCGCTCAATTGCTATATGTCACGTGATACCCTCCACCTATGTCAATGCGCTCTCTATCCTGGTACTGTATATAAGTATCTTATTCAAATAAATTGATCACTTTTTTTCAACAAAGCATCACTAACGGGTTTCCCAATATTTTACGATCATATGGTGATACTTTGAACATTATCGTGTTATCCAGTTCATTTCATAAAAATAACTTTTTTATTTTTTTTTATTTCATCCAATTGACAAGCGATTGTGGTATGAATTCCCGGATTATTACTGCATTTCAGGATGATCCTTGAAGTTTTGGAGATCCTTTTTCCTGTGCCTTCTTTTTAGTCTCTTGGATTTTCAGCCCCCCTGTGGGACAATGGTAATTTTACGGACTTGCAGTGCCATGGTCCGGGGTTCAATTCTCTAAGGTGGATGTGGCAGGTGGCCTTCAGTTGCTTTGCTCTAAAAAAACAACTTGCCTTACCATAGCCCTTAACTGACCTATGAAGAACGAAATGGAAGCCACTTTGGGATCAGCTACCTTTGATTTCGTTTTCTTCTGTTGGTTCTTCAACTGTGTGATGTTTTTGGTATTTTGCTGGTTGCTTTTGAGCCTGCAACTTAATTGATGTCAGAAAGATCTGGGAGCAAATTTTATTCATATTCTCTAGGTACGAAAATTGTGGTTCATGCTGGAAGGTTTACTTCTTAGTTATGTGAATGGACAGTTGCCATATTCAACACATTGTCAGAACTTCATGATTTTGCCTACCATCAGATGGAAGCATTTTTCCAACCCAAATAATATCTGCTCCTTGAATTTTGGGGTTCTAAGACAGATTTTGTAGTTCACCTATATAGGTCTATGTCTCTTGATGGGACATTGTGTTTCTTTTCACTTCACTTTGTTAGAAGACTTTCAGGTTCACCAGTTTCATTGAGGACGAGCTGGATCTATTGTTAGCATGTATGTTGGTTCAATCTTCGGCTTTTACATTCCACCCAGTTGTTGTAGGAGTCTCGAATTTCATCGGCTCCTATAGGAGGGCCATAGTTCCACCCCTATTCATGAGTACCGATCCCTGACATCAGCTCCTCGGTAGGTTTAACATGGTTCTGCTGTATCGTATGAGTTTTCTCATCCCTTTCATTATATTGTACTGTGCACACACCATTCCATGGAGGACTGGTTACTGCTGGTAACATCTCTTAAATTGTTAGACCATCACATCCTGCTTCTACTTCCAGATACAACCCAGGCAGTTTTCTTGTTTGGGACTGTGACATATATTCTTGCTCCAATTCAGTATGTCATCAGTCTGGTTATTTCTTATTTTTCATCTCATCTTTCAGTCAGGCTCAGCTGTCTCCAATTCTGCTGGATGCTATAGAATAGGATGCCACACTTATACTCACCCCTCCTTCTCCCACTGCACAGTTGGCTTTTTCTCTTCTGGAAATATTGGAATTACTTTATTCCCTCATACCTTTGGGATGAGAACACAAGCAAGCCTTTTATTGTACTTTAAGCAACCAGAGATCATACACACCTATTTCCTGGTTTCCCCAATTTCATTAGTCAGGATCATTCTTCTATCTTGAGGGGTTAAGTCAGGATGCTACTACAAATTGGGTTCCTCTACTGCCACCTTTTCCAAAGTTCCATTCTCTTCACGAATGCCTTGCTTCAGAGTTGGGGTACCTATACCAACAGCTAGGAATTCCACAGTATGCATGGACGATGAGGATCCTCTACATAATGTTTTTGTCCTTCTTGCTATTCAACAGGCAAGGTCTCATGGTCTGGGCTTCTTAAGGGGTAAATAGTCAGGCTTCACTCTATTATTCTGTGGTGGTGTCTTATGTTCCTCATCAAGAAGGCATGTGGTCTAGTGTTCCTTATTTTTGAATATTGGACCTCCTTCTTGGGACTAGCCTTATCTTATCACCCTTCTAGCTTGCCATGTTCCATGGATGATGCCTGTGGTAGCAGGTCCATTGTCTCAATCCAAACAGATTCTCCCAAAAGAATAGATGTTGCATCACAAGGTTCAGTTGTATTGCCTCTCATTTTACAATTCTAATTGTGGGTTGGCCTCTCATTGGATCACCCAACTACTGGCAATTTGGTCTCCAGTACCTCATCTTTGGGTGTTGGCAATAGATGCTTTCCATCTGAACAGGACAGGGGACTACCACCCTAAAACCTCTCCATTTGATATGTTACCCAGGATATGACATATGATTTGTTCCAACTCATTGTCAGATTCTGTTGATTGTACCAGATTGGTGACTATACCCAGGTTTCTGTTTCTGCAGTCCCTTCTGGTGTGTTCAGTTTTTCCACTTCTTTTTAGCCTCTCTCTCTATAAAGGTAGTCATGATCAGATATGGTGCATCTAGCTTATCTGGCTTAGTTTCTGTTTCATCTGAAAGTCACTTTTCACAAAGGTAAGGACATGCATATTGGCAATGTTGTATTGAGAGGAGGTTGAACCCTTCTCAATCAGTGGTATCAACCATAACTTGTTTTTTGACTTTGCTCTTTGACAGAGGTTTTTTGCATCTTCCACACTTGCCATTGTTTACCATGGCCTTATTGACTACCATTCGATTATCACAACTACATACTTTTGAGTCCCCAGAACTCTCCAGATTCCTCACATCATTTTGGGCAATTGATCCCAAATGACCATTCCAGTTACCTGATGGGTAGATTCGGGTTACGTGTTCTTTCTCGACCTGTTTGTGACCTGACTTTTATATGCCATGTATCCTCTTTACCTGCAGATTTAATTTTCTCGGCTGCTAACCCACGGACATCACCGGTTGAAGAGATTTGTGCTCTTTGTCCACATACAACTTTCTCATTCTTTCTAAATTAAAAAAAAAACAGTGATTGGTCATGTTCAGTGAAGGTCTTGAAGGTTTTGTTGCCTCCAATTATACCTTTATTCTGGGTTCTCTTTGCAGGTGAGGTATCATCTGTGAGTCATATCTGAACAGATTTCTCTTTTCTATGTTCTTAGCATCCCAGTCGAATTGCCCACTGGAGGTCACTATGCAGATTAGTATGTGGACCTCCCCAATATCTTTATCTCACATCATTAGCCTGATCTGGCAGTTTCTTCATCTGAGGGTTTTTGCCTACACCCTGTAGCTGTCTTAACAATTTCTGCTCAATTATCCAGAGGGTTGAGTATTTTTATTTCTACCTTTCAGGGTCCCTTTCCTTGTTTTCCCACTTTATGGCGATTGTTGCCCAGACAGGTGTGCTTTTATCAAACCAATTCCGCACTAGCAACCACTGTTTCATTATAATTACTACTGGTTGCAACAGGCTCTGTAGAAATGAGGTGTTCCATAAGACCACCTAGGTACTCACCAGGTGGTATTACTATGCTATGCTGGACCGCCACTCATGGACTATTATGAGTAAAGTTAAAGGGGATCCTGCTAATCATCAGATTAAATAAATTGGGTTCAGTTTGCTTTTAAAAATTTAGGGAACTTGGTTCACTATTGCACTGTTTCCAAAAAATGTTCTTCAGGACTCCCCAATGTGCATTACCCCCCAGATTCTTCTAGTGGAGCTAGGGAGTCCTTACCACATACAGTTTACAGTCACTGGGGTAGTGGACAGAGGCTTTTCCTCCAGAGCATTTGAGTGAATTCCTCCATTCTTGGAGAAGAGGGCAAAGTTGGGGGCCCTCCTATCCGGGTCCCTGAATGTTTTTTGCCAGATGTCGGTGGAGCAGTGCTACCCTACAAGGGAGCCTACTCATAATATTGGTTCAAATTTGATGCTTGGCTATCTGATTAGGGTGTGCATGGCCCTTCATTTTTACGAATATCAGTTCAGCATATTGTTCATGGAAGGAGGTCCACTATCTCTTCATAATTCCAAACACATAATGTTCCCATCCTGGGTCCTTGGTTAAGCACAATTGTTCCATGTCCTCCCCCTAATTCCAGGGTCAGGTAGAAAGCTTCTTGCCTACTCGGTTGGAGAGTGAGGATGAATATTCATAGTTCCAGACTGAATGAGTTCTGTTCCTTTAGTTGAGTAAGGCATACACGATCCCATTATTTTGAGTTTGGGGTGTTGCCTTTTAGGCTTCTTCAGGAAGAAGAGAAGGTTCGTCCGCTTACCTTCTCATCTTGATTCTAGTTGTTCGGAATGTATCACTCTATGGCTACAGGTTTGGATTCAATCAAAAGTATATATCTCTATATAATTTTGTGGTCAAGTTGCCTTAGCCATCAAGGTGCGATATAGGGACTAAGGCCACTTAATTCCAACCCTGAATGGTGGAAACTTGGCAATCTGGTTGGGGCTGACCTATAGTGATGATTACTCACGTACAACTACACAGTTGTTACAGGAATTAAGTTCAGTGTAAAGAGCATACCTGTTCTTGATGTAGCGTGTACCATTCTTATCTTGGTATAGATGCTTTCTGCATGGATGATGACCTCATTGGCCCCTCTTCCTTCCCAATATGGGGTTCTCGCTGTAAGTGGCAGCAGAGGTATGTATGTTTTGGAAGTTAACATTTTCCTAAATTGAAAAGGTTAATTTTTAAAACAATTGCTTGTGTCATTTAAATATTTTCTAGCAAACAAACATAACCTTTACTCATTATGGTTAGTAATTACCAGTGTCATACTTTGCTGTGTAACTCACATTGTGAAACATAGCAAGTTTTGTTCTTATTAACATTACTGATATTGATTGTTTTGTCAGTTGATTGTTTGTCTTATTGGAAACACTTCTTAGATACAAATTCCCAGCTTTTGAAATATTAGCTTGATAACTTCATGATTTATATGTAGGTACATTTGAATACCTTATATGTGTTTGCCTACTTCAGTAATAGTACTAATTGTTTTCATTGACATTTTGAATGTGTCACTTGATTCTAGAACAAACTTGTTAGTGTGAAGACAGAGCAGCTTGGTGATCTACTACAAGATGAGATTATTTCAAAGTTCAGTGATAAGGATGATAATGATCTGGATGGTTCAAAGTACTGTGTTACAAATGTGAAGAAAGAAAAGGAATTTGATAATTTGGAACAAACTGGTTCTGAGTTAGGAAGTACATCTGGTAAGTAAAAATATCCTGCAATGAATTCTGTAAAATCATGAATACTGGTTTAAAAGAGCTTTTAATTTATTTAAAATCTTAGTAATGATTTTAAATCATTAATTAAGAAATGTTCATGCTGCTTAGTGGTTAAATAGATATATAACTTATTTAATTCCTTCCATACAGGTACATTTTCTGCAGATGTCACAAGGTTTTACTGAGTTACATTCAAAATTTATTTAAGCTACTTTATTATCATGGTATATGAATAAACATGGCATCAAAACATAGCCTGTAATCCAAATGTTAATATTTTATAAGTTTGAAGTTTTTAATTTTATAAGACAATAATTTAAGAAATTCTCAATTTGCCCTAATATGAGAATTTTGAAATATTCTCTCTAGGTCTTCCTTTTTTTTCTAATTTATTGACTGCCCCTCTGAGAAGTATGGAATTTAATGTAAATTACTCATTATAATATAAATATTAGTCACAGCAAAGCATAATTGTTATAATTTTCAATGTTATTTGGTTTCAGAGCCATAAACTAGAAAATCAGACCCCCCCCCCCCCCATTGCCATACTCACCTATCACATCCTTTCTTTCACAAATTATCAATAGTTCGAGCTGAAGCTTAATACTGTATTACTTATAACCAATAGAAAACCCAAATATTAATGCTTCAAATGACATATATATTACACTGTATTCTATGCAGATAATTTTCTATTTCACTTCAAATTTAAACTTTATTCCCACAGAAAAGACATTGACATTGCTCTTATTGCATACTTAGAGAACCAGAAAATTATAATAGTTAAAAGATAGTCTGCTTTTTACATGTTATTATTCTGTACCTTAGATCCTTATTTAATTCAATAAAAAAATTATTTAGTGCAGTAGTACCAAGAATATAAAAAATAGGGTTAAATTTCATCCACAGTTGACAGCAAAAAAAAGAAAAAAAGACCCAGTTAATTACTATATTTCTTCTTTTTCTTGTGTTCTTTATATATTATTATTATAAGAGTAACTAAAATGTAAAAATTAGAAACTATATTAAGTAAAATAAAGAAAAATACTAATAATTTTTCATAAGGTACACTGGCATAACCTGATTAAATAAGTTAACGTGAGCTATACATTTACCAAATGATCTAGAACTTGTATAGTGGGATTCTTATTTAGACACAGTTGAAAGGGCAATAATAAAATTTAAGTAGAAACAGGTGTATATTTTCATGTGCTTTAAACTATTTAGGATAAATAAATGTAGTTTCATATTACAATTTGAAGTCATTTTAGAAAGAAAAAAGGGGAATTTAAATTTATGTCATGTTTTTTATGGTGGTTATGAGATCCTTGAAATTAACTGGCTTTGCATAGAGTTAAGGTAGAAAAAATAACATAAAATATAATGTTTGACAAAAAAAAAATGTTTGAAATTTATTTAAGAGGTATTAGAGATTAGACAAATGAAATTTGACAATTTTCAGAATCACAAAAGTATTTTTAATCTCAACATGAAAATCACTTTGCACCTGAAGAAGTCAACAGTTTGATTCCATGTACTCACTGAGAGATTTTTAGTGTAAGTACTTCATTAAAACTTGGTTGATTTGACTGAAACCTTAGTGAGAGTGTTCAGACATGAGTGCATGATATATTATAACAGTTTGATAAAACACAAAATAAATAAAGTGATTAGATTTAAATCATCTCTACATATTTCAACTGGGCCATCTAGATTGGAGGTTCTATTGGGATAAAAATGTGCATTTCATTCAAAATTTAATTGAAAATAGCTTTTTAATCAATATATGTCAGTAAACTTGGAATCAAAGCTAGTTTCTAATCAACATTTTTATATTATCTAAGTTTTGAATTTTTAATTTCAAAAGGAAATTCTAAAAACTTCTCAATCATCATTTCTTTGTGCAAAGTGATGCATGTAGCTCTTAATTCTCCATTTTAGGTTTTATAGCCTTCAGAGTTTCCAATACGGTATCTTACCTCTACTCACCACACATATAGCTATAATCATTCAGTGCTGCCCTCTATATTCAAAGTTTTTCACATGCCAAACGTGTTGAAACTCCCACTTACCCTACAATCTACATGGTTCACAGTGTCTTTGCATGTAAATAATCTTGCAACAACCCTCTACCAATAGGAGTGTGACACAACCTCCTGACTCATGTGACTCCCCCTATTTGATTATACTAACTATCACTTTTCATTAGGCAGTTATTGAGTGCAGATATTTTAACATTGTGATATTTTTGATGTAGTATTTTGATTAACATTACGAAGTAGTACTTTAACATTTTTTGTTCAATTTCTACTGTTTGTTCACTGTAGTTTTTTTACCAAGTCTACTTAATTTAATTTCAGAAGTGTGCATCATGACTTCCATATCCTATTCCTACTGCTTAGCATGTTGAATTAATTTTTTCTATTTTTTGTGTGTTTATTTTATCAATTCACCCATGACTTGGTAAGTTATAATTTGTATTTATTACTTTCCTTTTAAGGGTATGTTTCTTGTAGGTCTAGATTCCCACTCAGCCTGTCCAGGTATGCTACATATTTAACCAAATTCTTCATTGTAAACCAAGTATAAGGCCTACTGGGGTATACTATTTCCTGTCTAGTGACTCAGATGTTTCAATCCCATGCAGTGGGTCCTGGGAGTTGACGTTATGTAGTCCCGGATCTGATCATCCTGGGAACTGTGATAACTCGGGATATTCTGCTAGTGATTCATGCACTCCAGCCTCTGTGGAGTCCTATCTGCGGTTAACTTTGTGCACATTACTCCTGATGCTCCACCTCAATGGGGTTGGGCCCTAGTAAGTTGATGTTTCACAGGATGTCTTGGCAAGGTTTAAATGGGACATCTCACCAAAGTTGTTTTTAGGAGGATAGCTCATCAAAACAATTTCAGTACATACCCACACTGTTAAGATGGGGTGTTTTACAAGATCACTCTTAGGTTATCTTCTTGATATATTTGCTTTAGACATATGCCTGTTCCAGATTGTAGTAACCCATGGACTTCCATGGGTAAAACAGAAGGGGACAGCTGCCCATCACTACTGCCCCTTAGATTGAATAAATCAAAGGTGGTCTGCATTTCAGAATAGGGATTTCATGGTGACCCGTTGCACTGTCTCTGGTGTCAGCATTCCTCTGGAATCTCCACTGCATTACCCACCTCCTCTCTCCTGTTCTTCTAGTGGAGGATGAGAGTCCTTGCCATTTTCCACTTCTGAGCCAATGGGGTGGAGGACCATAGAGAAAACCTCCTGAATGTGATCACCTCCATTCACTAGAGAGTAGGGCAGTGGTGATCTGCTGGTGTAGATCTTCCAGTCATGTGCTCCACCTGTCTGTGGTGGATCCCAGAGATTTATGTTGCATCCTGCTTCCATGTAATCCTATCCAGAGAGTGAGGTTGTACATGTTTAACTGAGGCAGTCTACTGCTGTGCAGTCCTATCTGGAGGATGATGTTGCTTTCAAATTCATCTGCCAAGTTGCAGTTCATCCCTCTAGTTGGGATCTGTCATCCTTTCTGGTTTCCAGTAGTGATTTTGGATTGGAGCTGGACCAATCAACGTAAATCCTCACACATGTTGGTTGTGAATCTTTGTTCTACCTTAGTATAGGGTTTTTGCTGCATCATATCCTCCTCTATGCAGTGGGCCCTGGTGTTTGATGTTGCACTCCAGTTTCTGTGCGCCCTATCCAGGGGTTGTTGTTGCACATCTTTCCAATACGTGTTCCATCTCCATGTTGTGCTGTGTGGAAAAGTCCAATTCATTTTGGATTTGGTGTGAACCACCACCATGGCACATTCATTCCTACCATCATTCGGATTTTATGTTCCCAGATGGTTGTTTGTAATTGTGTATTTGTGCATGTGCCCTGTTACGTAGATCGGTAGGGAAATTGTCTCCTTTTATTCTACTTAACTTAAGGTGAAGATGGCATGGACCCTCCTCCTACCACAGGTTGGATGTCCAAAACTGGTTTGGAACTGGATGCCTGCTGGGTATTGTCTGACATGCCCTAACCACTCTACACCATAGGGCACCATTTTAGCTTACTCCACTTTCCTGTCTGTGGGTGGAGATCCTTCGTTCATTCTTAGCTGGAACTGAGAGTATGGTCTGTTATGAGATTTTGGTTTGAACCCACTCAGTTTTCTCTTCTTCTTTGGATGAGCTCCCTCAAACTTCCATCTGTGTATGTGAAACATCTTACCACATAAGGTGAAGAGCATACATGATACAGAAGAGGTATTGTTGTGGTCTTCCACGTGTGTTCCTCTCCAAACACCTTGCTCTGTTGTCACTCAACTGCTTTATAGTCATCCTGTGGTTCTGAATGGAGGGTTTCTATTCTCCAGTGATCATTTTCACCTGGTTTGTGGATGACCAAGGTCTACATGTCAGTTACTTACATATTTGAATTTGCCTGTCCTTCAGATATTTTCTCCATTTCATCTATTAGAATCAATTTTCCAGTTCTTTTCTTTGGCATTGAATCTGCTCCTTATGTCTTCAGTTGAGTCATGGGGCACTTGCTTGCCATATTCATAGAATGCAGCTAATATTCCATAATTACCTGGACGATTGACTTCTTATTGCCCCTTCTTGGGAGGAGTTCTCTTACATCTCCATTCTTCTGTAGGAGTCTGCTTGGATGGGCTGACTAGTCAAGTATTCTAAGTCTTTTTCTCATACTTACACAATATTTGGTACATTTTGGTGTGTTTTTGAACTCTCATTCAAACAGACTCAGCCTTCACCTCATCATTTGCAGGAAATAGAATATCATGTCACCAAGATTTGTACTTCACATTTATACCATGCACACAAAGTTCTTTTGCTTTTGAGGACACTAACTTCACTAGAACCACTCATTCCTTTAGGACATGCATACATATATATCTCCTCCAGTAGACATTGAGATTTTAATGGAACCTTTTTTTGGTTTTGGTGGCTCAAACATATTGATACAACAGTGGGCATCCCCTTATTATCTCCTGACCAGATTTCCATCTTTTCACAGAGACTTCCCTGTAGGACTGTGGTGTATCTGAATGATATGACTTTGGGGATGTGGGATCAGGTTTTTACTTCACATGAACTCTAATTTCTTGCAAATTTCACTAATAGTTTAATTTTAATGTCTTATTTTCTTTCCTTTTTTTAACTGCCTTTCTAGCTAAGCTATAAATCGGTTAAAAATTTCTGTTAGTTGCTCAGAACATTTACTTTATTCAACATATAATATTTTCTTCAAAACTGTAATCACTTCTGCTAAAATATAAAGAAATACATGAGGGCAGGATATTGGATTTTGTTCTGTCTAGTGGTTACAAACATGTCCTTTAGCAATGTTGGAGAGAATTATAGATATATTCCTAATGACAGAGGGAGAGACAGGATGGGTGTGTCATGTGGTGGGTCTACTAAATTGAGTAAAGCAAAAAGATTGAATGTTTCAGATTTATATTCTAGCCTTGGCAATATTTGTAGTATGACACTATAATTATTTGGACACTGACACTCATGTAAGGGTAGAAAGACAAACTAAAATGTAAATTCAAAGCTCAGATGTATCATGTGATAAAGGAAAGTGAAGATTGAGAATTTATTTGAATATTTTCTTTTGAAATTTATAATAATTAATACTTAGATAATATAAAAAATTTAATTACAAAACTCCTTTTTGATGCCATTTATACTGACATAAGTTCATGATAAAGTAGTTTAATTAAATTTTGGATGTAACTTTGTAAAAAAAAAAAATTATATGCTTAGGGTTATAGAATTGTAACTAGACTTACATATTAATATTTTTCAAATCTGATAGGAAATCATGAAATATTAATATTATTGTAATAATTTGTATTAAATATTTAAGTGAAGAAGATAAGTGAATTGAGACTCCAGAGCCACAATTTAAATCAGGATATTTAGTCCCACCTTGAGCTATCCAGGAGTACATGCCATCCCAGTCAATGTTTACTTATAAAATCTCTCACTGTGACCATGATCACATAATATGTTGTGTTGTTATGGTCAGGATATTAGTGGGTTGATTTGCTGCCACCTAAACTAATTTTTTTTAATTCTACAAGAAATCTTGAAATAGAAGCACTATATTATTGTAATGATTAATATTAATTTTAAGCAACTTTGTACAACTTGACCAATAAGCTTCTTTTTTTAAAATAAAAATCAAGAAATGGATTTGGATGGCAACTGCAGCTCGCATCTTGTAGATTTAAACTTATTTTATTCAGTAAAAATAAAGAATATCATTTTGTGTAGTGGAATTTCTTTTCTTCTTTTTTACTCAATATAATGTGTATAAATCTACAAGATGTGAGTTGCAGTTACCATGTAAACACATTTCTTGTTTTTGCTGAAAAGCCTGTTGGTCAAGTTCTACAGAACTGTTGTAAAGTAAATATTTAATATTAATTATTATGTTTTTTCAATTACAGGTTTTATAACTTGCAAGGTTTCACAAACTAAAGAAAGACTTAATTTCACAAATAAATCTAAACAATCACTCATTTATTTTCCAGTACACAAGGTACATCTGTATTTCTAGTTACTTTGTTAAAACTCATTATTATTGTGTAAGTGTTTCAAGTTCACATCCTGCATGCAGGAGTCACAGTAATTTAAATGGTCAGAAGAAAAATTGACACCCAACCACTGGTCATATCATGACCACGAGATAAGTAAAAATGATGTGGTTTGTTTGTTAGAGATGAAGAACATGGTAGTTAATTATTAATAAAGTAACTTACCAAAAGTTACTTGTGTGGTAATCCTTTACCTCAGTTAGTAGAGCCCTCACCTGGCATGCAAGCAGTCATTGGTTAAGTTGTGAATACTGGAAACTCAGTAATTAAGATTACCACTTCTCAGTTTTGTCACATATACCATTGTATTACCATGATATGATGGGAAGAGTTTATTGGTTCAGTGTGCTAGACAGGACATCTGGCTATTGGGAAGTATATAAGGATATCAAAAGTAGAATTAGGACTACTTTTAGCACTTGGGATTGCTTGTATGAATTTTGGGTCATGTAATTTGGGCTGTGTCTACTACTTTGAAGAAGCTGATGGTGCCCACATTATTATTAGATGATTCTGCCCTGAATTTGATAAAAGAATAGAAAACCTACTGATATAGTTTTATTTTGTCAAAATCTTCACATTTCTAGATATTTTACTTGCATATAGATACTCTGAACAGGAAATTTAAATATGTTGCTGTCAGTCAACATGTTAAAGAGTTATAAGCATTTTATTATAACTACCACTTGAAGTAGCAAAATAACTGATCTTCAAAATGGACCAAGCATTGCCCAATAGTTAACATACTGGGGTGGGGTTCATTTCCATTACAGAAAAAAACAAAAAAAAACTGTGTTACACACTTTGTAGCCATGGGTGTGATATAAGACTGGCAGTCAAACCCCACAAGAAATGACAAGAACTAGCTGTGGGTCATATTGACTGGTTACCTTCCCTCTAGTCTACTACTGCAAAATTATCTATGGCTAGTATAATTAGCTCTTGTGTAGCTTTGCACAACATATCAACAAACAGACAAAATCTACTAATATTAATCCAGGAATTACTGGCTGAAAGTAATGTTGTTTAGTGTGGCGGTATCTGTCCAAATTTAAAAGCTTCCTTTGAATGTGTTCTGTTACCTGCATTTTATGCTTTTGATGCTATATGGACCATGGAAGAAACACTTTTTCTACTCTTTCAAACTATATGAATATACCCAGGAGTTTGTCAAAATAATGTATGGTGTATCTATCAATAACTTTATTTTTCACATCCATATTTTTTATTTTAGATATAAAGACCTATGTGAACACCTCTTCTGGAAATCAGTTTGCTGGTGATCATGTTTTAATGGAAGAAGATCCATTTATGGAAATAGAAGTCAACAAATCTCGGAAACCAAACAGTAATGTATTTGGAAAAATGAATTTAAGTGTACCTAACCTGAAACATTCTGTTATGCCTTCTAAAGGTGAGAAACAATACAGTTGTTTACTCTGTGGAAAAGTATTTGTAACAAATAGTAATTTAAAAATACACCAGAAAATACATACTGGAGAGAAACCATATGTTTGTGTAGTGTGTGGCAAAGAATTTCGAAGAAAAGGTAACCTAAAAACACATGAAAGGATACACACTGGAGAAAAACCATACTGTTGTAAGGTATGTGGTAAAAAATTTGTATGTAATAGTTATTTAGAAGTACATCATAAAATACATACTGAAGAGAAACCATATGGTTGTGTAGTGTGTGGTAAAAAATTTGAAAGAAATGGTAATTTAAAAATGCATCAAAAAATACACACTGGAAAAAAGCCATACTGTTGTAAAGTATGTGGTAAAAAATTTGTATATAATACTCACTTAAAAACACATGAGACAGTGCACACTGGAGAAAAACCATATAGTTGTATAGTTTGTTTAAAAAAATTTGGAACAAAAAGAAATTTAAAAAATCACTTGAGAATACACACTGGAGAAAAACCATATAGTTGTGAAATATGTAAAAAAAAATTTAGAGTAAATAGTGACCTAAAATTACATGAGAATTTACACACTGGAGAGAATCTAGGCAGTTGTCTTGTTTGTGGCAAAACATTTGGAACAAAGACTATCCTAAGAAATCACGAAAGGATACATACTGGAGAAAAACCATACAGTTGTAAAGTATGTGATAAAACATTTGTTTTTAATAGTAACTTAAGAAAACATGAGGTAATACACAGTGGGGAAAAACCATACAGCTGTATAGTATGTGGCAAAACATTTGGAAGGAAAAGTGATATAAAGAGCCACGAGAGAATACACACTGGGGAAAAACCATACAGTTGTGAAATCTGTGGAAAAAAGTTTGGAAAAAATACTTACCTAAAAAGACATGAGATTGTACACAGTGGGGAAAAACCATACAGCTGTGCAATCTGTGGCAAAAAATTTGTAACAAAGAGGTACTTGACAAAACATGAGAAAATACACATTGGGAAGAAACCATACAGCTGTGTATCTGTGGCAAAGAATATGGAACAAAGAGATATCAAAAGAAACATTAAAGGTTACACACTGGGGAAATCATAATTTACAGTGTGTATCAAAAAAATATGTATTTGATACCAACCTCAGAAAACAAAAGATACTCACTGGAATGGAACCTTAACATTGAAGTGTGTAGCAAAAACATTCAATGTACATATAGTGGGGAGAAACTACAGAGGATTCATACTTTGGATAAACCATAGAAGTATGAAATGTTTACAGTTATGATGTACAGTTGTGACAGGGAACACTCGTGTTTCGTGTGTAAAACCACATCAGTATGGTGTGTAGAAAAGTATGGAACCCTAAAACATCAGGAGTACAAACTGTAAATAACTCACCCAGGTATGATGTCTGTAGCTAGGACTTATAAGGTGGTCCGTATTTAGAAACGTTTTGTGAAGTGGAGTGTGTTACTATGGACTTAAGAGAAAATAATGAAGGCTCTTCTAGGTCATTTCTTCACCAGTTCCTTAGACATGTTGAAGAATCTTGTGAATATGATAAGTTCAATTGATTTTGCTCAATCATAATCTGTCATAGATATTATTTGATTGTGTAATTTCACTGTTTTCTTCTTTTTAGAAAGAGTTAAGTGGAAAACTCTGTATTTTTTTTTAATGTTTTCGGTGTAAAATCTAAATGTTTATGTAATATATCGTGCAGTTAAGTAATTGTAGTCCAATGAGTTCTTGGTCCAGGAACATTTTGTAATTATATCAATGTATAATAAACCTCATTGCTTTTCTGTGTGTAGTCAAACTGTGTGTATTAAACTGAAGAAATAAAACCAGTCCTCTTGTGAAGATAACCATATCAGTAGTAGTTTAACTTATTTTTGCATTATTTTTGACTGCAGAGAACTAACAAAATAATCAAATTTGTTATGTTAATTTGAATTTAAAGTTTTAGTAGTGCTAATGTAAACCAATTCAGTGATTGGATAACTTTTTTTTTTATTAATTGTATTAGAAAAGGACTTTTATCTTCACACCTCGTACTGCACTGATGATCACACGTACACGATCAAACAAACAGTATGTTTTCACACTCCTTTAAACTTTGTCATTTGTAACACTTCTAGTTCGATGTCTCTTTGGTCTTTGTGAATGAAAGAGTTGTTCAAAGGAGAAAATTCACACATTCATTTACATAACTCTTTCAAATTTTCTCACCTTTCACTTCATTTTGCAATATCAAAAATGGTGCCGGTGTGTATGGTCTAAAAAAAAAAGCCATGGCTAAATGTTTATCTTAACAAATATCCACTCTTGTGGAAATTAATGATATATGCTTAACTTTATATCCTCAAATTGTTTTTCACAGCTGTTTTTCTGGGAACTACATCTATGGCAATTTAGAGATTTTGTTGCACTTAATAGTGACAATTAACAATTTAATTACAATGACATAACCGTGCCTCATGATATACAAAGCCTTCCTTATAAGCAGGTCACAGCTATTTTTATTTCTTGAAACTCTGTCCCAAGTTTCATTTAACGACTCTACTGCACATGGCCAAACAAGCAATGTGCTTGTTCCACTTGAATAGCAATTAACCTATTCACAGGCATTCATAACATTTCCTTAAGTAGCATGCATATATTTGGATTTTGTTTTGTTTTTTTCTTTGACTACTTCTTGTTCATTAACATTGAAAACTTTTGTTTGAAGTAAAGCATCAATATGTTACTGCTATTACCAAGTATAGTGTTGTTAGGAATATTTAATGTAAATATACAATGTTATTCTAACTGTGGAATGCTACTTTCTCATTTAACTTTTTTGTTACGTCATCTCAAGTAGAGTCCCCATAGAGAAGTTTTAATAATTTCCCTGATGCATCAATAAATACTTCTTTTTTTCTTACTCGTATTTTTTACTATTATTTCTGGTTAATGTTACCTTATCCTTGACATTATACAGAAATTCATTATATAGAAATTGGCAATAATAGAATTTCTTAATTAGGTAGCCAATCTGTTGTAGGAAAGCTAAAATACATTTTTATGGAATTCCAAGATGTACTTACCTCTACTCACACTACAGCTATTACTTAATTGCTAAGTTTTGTTTTCCTTTGCCCATCTAAGCATTGGTCATATATTTTCTCGCTTGCTCTAGTCTTTTATTCCCCACTTAATTGCTCTTGATGATATCTGTCTCCACCTACATCAATGTGTCCTCTATCCTGGTACTGTATATAAACACTTTCTTTAGATAATATTGTCACTTTTTCTTGACAAAGCATTCATTAACTTGTTTTTCTGTAATATGGCCTTTGGAGATACTTTGACCATTTCTCATTGGTTTTTGTAAAGAAAAAACTTTTCACTTTGTAAGCCGATGTAGGACATGAATTCCTGAGTTAATGTATCCGATATGGAGGCCAATCAGGGCTCTCCTATCCCACTTCTAATATCTAGTCTTGCTCAGGATTTGCTCTCAGTTGAGGTTGTCCATGACCTTATCTGTAGTGAGATAGGGACATATATTCATTCTGGTGGTATTTCTTCAGCGGGCTTTGAGGCTGCACTTGTGGACGGTCCTGGACATTCTGGAAAGAATTTAGATTTGCTTTTTCCAGCACTTTTCTTTACTCTGTCAGCTTCTCATGAGGACAATTTGGATCAGCCCCCTCCCGCTCCTTTTCTTCAATTAGTAATTCAACTGTGTGATGTTTTTGATCTGTGCCTTCCTTGACGGCAGAGAAGTCTGATGGCAATTACTTAATTCTTCCTCTATTCACTGATATTGTGGTTCATGCAGGGAGGTTTACTGCTCAGTTATGTAAAGGGACAGCTATGCCTTGTTGGCCACGTTGGTCAGAACAACATGCTTTAGCCTACCACTGTCAGTTGTAAGCATATTTAGACTCTCAGAGAATAGATCCGCTCCTGGAAGTGTGGTGTTCCAGATCAGAGTCTGTGGTCAACCTGAATAGATCACAATTTGCAAGGATTTGTCTGACCCTAACTACAGTGCTGAGATATTTATCATCCTTACATCTTTTTTTGGAAGCCTCTCAACAATCACCACATAAATTTGATGACGAGTTGGGACCATTGTTAGCATCCACCTTGGTTTGATTGTCAGCATTTGCACTTTCTCTAGTCTTTTGGCTGGTATGTTGTTGGGTAGAGATACATTGTTTGTCTACCTGCTGCTGTTCTCCGGGAGTTATGTGAGGCACCCTTTCTCTGACCCTTGATTTTTGTGGGCTTTCCAGAGTCTTTGAAATCAAGGTTTGATGTCGTCCATCTGCATTCAACCCTGTCGTCGTTATCTCTGCAACTTTCTGCAGCTCCTATGGGGGTCATATTTCAAGTGTACTGACCCACCCTCCTGACATCAACCTATTGGTACTCAGAATAGATTCCATCCAAATCAGAAGGTTCCTCCATTTAGTCTGAATGCTGCCAGCAATGGCAATGACTACCATTTGCTTCTGGGGTCTGAGCTCCCAGAATTTCTGGAGTGTGGGAAACCTTTACAATGGACCCATGAATACTACAGGTCCTTGAATCAGGATTAGTCATTAAGTTCACATCCCCACCACCATTATCCCCCCAACCTGTAGTGTTTCCATTTCCTGCAGATCGTTGGATTTCAGAACTTCATTCCACAGCTATCAGAGATTTGGTGGTCAAGGGGACAATGTAGAAATTTGTTCCAGTTCTTTCAGGGTTTTATTCCTGAATCTTTGTTGTGCCCAAAAATATGGGAGATTGGAATCTATTCATTGATCTTTCTTGTCTAAATCCCTTCCTAGATCCTCAAGTTCACAATGGAGTCATCCCTCACTCGACATTGGCAGATTTTGCCAGGACTGTGGATGACTAAGTTTGATGTTGTTGATGCCTTCCACTATCTGTGTTTTGTGCACAAGGGTCAGGTGCTGCAGTTCAGGTCTCTGCCCTTCAGACTAACATCAGCACCATACGTGTTTTGCCAAATTGTACAAACTTTTTCTCGTCATCTCCATTCCCTTGGCCTGTGCACACAACATTACATGGATGACTGGCTATTGCTGGCACCATCTTGTCAGTTGGCAGAACATCACACCCAAATACTGCTTTTTGAAGCAACGAAGGCAGGATTTTTTATCAGAGCCGAGAAATCTCTTCTCCCTCCAACACAATATATCGTCTGTCTGGGTGTATTTTTCAACACATATCTCATTTGGGCTCAGCTGACTCACATCTGGCTCCACACCATCGAACAGGCAGTCTGACTCTTATGTCTCCTTATCCCACTGTTTGGATGGTTCTTTCTTTTTTTAGGGATGTGGGCATCACTCGAATCCCTCATTCCTTTGGGATGAGCACACATGAGATCCATTTAGTTGTCTCTATGTGACCAATGGATCGTGAACTGTAATCCACTGAATTCCCCAGTTTCCTTATAAGGATCAACAACTTTGATCTCGAGTGGTGGTTAGATAGGAACAATACTATAATAGGTGTTCCTTTGTCACCACTTCGCCCCAAAGATCCATCTTTTCAGGGATGAGGTGCATATCTCAACTGTCAGGAATTCCAGGGCCTATGGACAGATGACGTCTTCCCTCCACATCAATATTTTAGAACTTCTTGCTGTTCAAAGTGTTATGTCTCCAGGTCTGGAATTATTGAGTGGCAAAGTCATCATGCTTCACTCTGACAATTCCACATTGGGGTGTTACATTACCCATCAAGGGGGTACTTGGTCCAGGTCTCTCTTTCTTCTAACCGTGGATCTCCTATATTGGGTCCACTCCCATCATATCATCCTACTAGCTTGTCATGGTCCAAGAGGGATGAATTTGGTGGTGATTCAATTGTCTCAACCCATCCAGATTATCGTGACGGAACGGATGCTTCATCGAGGAATTTTCCATTTGATTTGCTCTCGATTTGGGACACTGATGATCAATGTGTTTGCCACTCATTGGAACACTGAAATACTCACATTTTGGTCTCTGGTACCTCACCCTTGGGCATTGAAAATAAATGCATTCAGTCACTACTGGACTGGATTGCATCTATATGCCTACCCACCAATTCATCTGTTATACAAAGTCCTAGCAATGATTTGTTAAATCCCCTTGTCTTGTTCTGTTGGTAGCACCGATATGGCTGGATCAGCCCTGGTTTCCACTTCTGTAGTACCTTCAGAAGTCCCCACCACTTTCTCTTTCGCCATCTCTGTTTGGGTAGCGACAATCTGACATCTTACTCCCATTCATCTTGAAGCTCAAACTTCATGTGTGGAGGTTATGTGGTCTTTTGCATGGTATCAGGGTTTAGCTTCTAAGATTGCCATGTACCTGTCATTCTGTGCACCATCCCATGAAGAACTTTTATCAATGAAATGGCATGTATATCGACAATGGTGTATTGCAAAGAGGTTGAACCCACTTCAGCTAGGCTTACAAAACATAGCTCAGTTTTGACCTGGCTCTTTGACAGGGGTTTTGCAACTTACACATTTGCCCTATATAAGGTGGCCTTTAGATGCTTGAAAAGAAGGAAATTCTCTGAGGCTCCAATGCTCTCCAGCCTCCTCAAGTCACTTTGGGTCCTATGTCCCAGACAATTGTTTCAGTTACCTAACTGAGATTTAAAGATGGTGTTACGTGCACTTTCTTGGTATCTATTTAAGCCATTAGCCTCATGTATAATGTAATACCTTTCCATTAAGGTTTTTTTTGTTGTTGTTGCTACTGGCCTAGATATGATCCATATTGCTTATTCTGGGTTCTGTTTGG